ACCATAGACAAGAGACCCACCCAGACACTGATACAATGAATGCAACCTGATACAAACAGAGTAACCAATATTTCCAGAATGCCCACAAGAAGAAGAAATCAAGCATGCAACACCATGAAAAAGCAAGTAACTTGAAATATACCCACCACAATAACAAGCTTGAAATGAGATCAAATGAGCTTAGATCGCAATTATAAGAAGCTGTGAGTGGAAGTTCAAACTTCAAAGAGAGCCAGAGATGATAGAGGGAAATATCATGAATGTTGCAGTGTTCTTTTTGTGAGCAACCCAAAGTGATTGAGTTCTTCCCATCACTAAGGTAGTATAAGATATTTTCTTATTTTTAATTTTGATTTTCTTTGGAACTTGATATTGATGCTGTATTCCATTGTCTGTCTCGAAGTGTGGATATATAAAATGACGTTGGTACGAGAAGCCATAATGGTTCATTACTTCTCTTTTTTTTCTTCTTTCTTTCTTTGAGGAAAAAGAAGAAGAAAAATAATTATAATAATCCTTATTACTGTCTCTCACTTCATTGCTTTGAGCGTTGCAGAGAGACAGGCACAGTTAGTGTTGTGTTGGTGGGGTCTCTCGGGGACACAAAAGTAGCCGAAAGGAAGGGAATGCAATGCATGAGGAAGCAAGGTGACCGTTGATCATTGAGGTAATGGGCCATAAGGACACATTCAACGGCTGTGATGAGACTGTGTGGTGAGTTGATGCTTGACTGTTGTGAGTGTCCTTGTGAAGGCGGGAAATATGGTAGTGGCTTTTCGAGATGGCATTCAATCTTTGATGTGACTTGATGCGTCAAAATCAAAAGCCTTAATCAATCAATAAGTTATGTGGGGTATACATAATTATCTCCTCTTCAAATTGTGATTTAATAATGTTGAACAGGATAATTATAATAAACATGAAAAAAGCATAATATTTCATTCTATTATTTAGCGGCAGACTCAGGAAAATCTTTTTATATCCACACATTTAGTGGCAGTGGTATAGGGATAGTTTCTGAAAAAAAAAATTGTAAATAAAATTTAAATCAATGCTTAAACTGTTCATAATGTAGTTGCTTCCATACTAAGCTACAGGTAATAGTTTGATCAATTATTTCCTTCTAACAAAAAATTGTCCCTATTCTAGTCCATGATAAAAAAAATTAGTCACCTGGTCCCTGTGAAATTCAAAGTGTTATTTTGATCTTTTTGAAGGACTAATGTAGATCTTTTTGAATTTGTAAGGGATCACAATTTTAACTAAATTGATCCACTTTCAATTTTTTATGGACCTCAAGACTTTTTTTTTTTGCAAAGGACTAAATTGGGGACCATGTTTTTTGCTAGAGACTTACAAGAATATTTACTCCTAATATATATTGAACCAAGAGACAAATAAGGACTTGCAACAAAGAAGAAGAAAAAAAAAATGAAAAATCCAAAATTTAAATTTTATGACCGCTGCCCGCAAGTGGGTCCCCCACTGCTATTAGTAATTATTAATTTAAATGACAAGGAACTCATTGTTTTTTCATCAAAGATTTCGATTTTGAATGCCCAAAATAGAGAATAAAAAAAATTATACTGAAAAAAGTGGACTTTAATATCAGAGAAATGTATTAATTCATTATTTATATATGGCTTTATTCTCAAAATCAAATTTATCGACCAATGTTCATTTATTTATTTAATTGATTTCATAAATCTTTTAAAAAATATAAAAAGTTATAGAGTAATAATTAATAAAACAATATAGAATAAGAAATAAAAACTATAATGTATAATTTTTATTGTTCAAATTATAACATTTTAGATAACTCGTGTTATTTTTTTAAAAAAAAATTGCGATGTTATATTGTTATTTATTTATTTTTCAGAAAAATATTTCTGCAGTTAATACATGTATTTATTTTCAAAACGACATCGTTTTAGGATTGAAAAATTAAAAAATTATAGTTATAGTTATAATTCTAAAATAAATTAAAATTATAAAAAACTATAATTTCTGCTCTTAAATAACATCGTATTGAACTTACTATAGATAAATTATCTACCGTGCAGAAAAAAGCAAACTTTGTATACGAAGTGTACCTTTTTAAATTTATATAGTTGGCGTGAAGGAAGCATAAGATCCTGTGGCGAGGAGCGTACAATGATTCCTATTGATGCACAATAATTTCAGATGTTCAGGTAGGAATGAGTGAGGTACCTTTCGATTCAGTCTGAGACTCTCTCTAGACTCAACACAAAGGGGTGACAGGGAATTTTTTTTGTTGATCCAATTCCGTATGGTTCTTTTATTTAAGAGGTGATATTTGAAATTTTTTTTTTCTATTTTCATTAATTATATGATTTTGATTGGTTTTAATCATTAAATAAATGGTAGTCAGGAACATTGAAATTATTTTCAGGTCACAGATAGAGAGGGACGAAGGAATATTAAAAAAAAAAAAAGGACGAAGGATGATAATAAAAAATAAATAAAGGGTATTGTAATAAAGAATAAATAAAGGGTATTGTTAAATCTTGGAAAAGTGAAAGTAAGACCGTAAAAAGATGGGAAGATTAAGAATTTTGTCGGAATTAAAAACAGCCACTAACCACGTGCCTGCTCTGCTGCATCTTGCGTGTATTTGATGTTGACCGCTTGACCATAACAACCATAATTTTGTTTGCATGATACGCCACAACCATTATTGTGTTCCTTCATTTCCAATTATTTCCTTTCAGCATGAAACTGATATTATCATACTGTTCTATGTTTCATCATTCTCATTCTAACCGTTATAGCATTTCATAAAATCTAATTATTAGTTATTAATAATGGAGGAACACGGGAAGGAATTAAATTTTCAAACCCTATTTCTCAATGTCGCGGAAACATTCCATTTTTCCAAAATGACATGCGTCCAATCTAGGTAACGAGTTTGATTTGGTCACATGACATGTTTTTTGAGGTCACCAAACTTGATGTCAGGTTTAACAAGTTTGATGATAAATCAGTCAGTATGCAATATTGAAACAAGACACATGGCATGTTTGGGTATCTCGTTAGAGTTAGCAAGGAGTTTACTTTGATAGGTGATATAAAATTTTGATAATTTAAACTTCTGAAGGATATACTTTGGCCTCAGGTGGCCGAATGAAGTTTTTTTTTTTATTTCACATAATTTTTCGAAACGAACGCGCTAGCAAGTTTTGAAGGGAACTTGGTCAAATTTTTTTTCCAAAAAATGCTTCAATGTGCCCCATTTGGTATATTTTATTTCTATGAATGATGTTATTTAATTTTTTTCTCTTATTTTCACTTTCTAACACTAAAAAATAATCCTTCCAGTGTGTAGACTGTAGATCTCCAAAAGTTAAGTAGAATTAAAAAAAGTACCTGATTAAAACACTCAAGTCAAAAGTTATGATCTTCTGAAATTTTACCGTAAAATTATCAAAATTTTGTGCCACGTGTTAAACTAAAATTGTTGTAAGCTCCAGCAAGTTTGCCTAAGCGTGTCACGTGTCTTGTTTCATTGTTATAGACTGATTGATTTGACTATCAAACTCGCTACATCTGATAGCGAGTTTAGTGGCATCAAAACACGTGTCACGTGATTAAACCAAACTCGTTACCTATTATAAAGAGTTTGGATGCGTGTCATTTTGATAAAATATACTGTTCGCATGATATTTTGACAAAAAATTTGAGTGTCAGTTCCTATTCTCTTTATTTTATTTTATTTTTGCTAAGGAAGTATATCATATTGATATTTCTTTTTTTCAAGCAAAGGTATGGTTGTAGGAGATTTCATGGTAAACGGGCTTAAATAAAGTTATTTTTACATGCCTTTGCGTTTCGAAATGGTTTTTTAGGGATGCTAGATACTGAAAAATTCATAAATGAGGTTGTGATAACAGGGTCAGGGTTGGGCATGAGTGACCTAATCCAAGTCTTAACATCCACATTCCACACAGACCAAAAGCTTATTTTGAGTTATTCATTGGGCCATTCTTTCATATGTACTATGTTCAGCCCGACAAAAGGTTGTATGCTTGGTCTTGGCCCATAATGCGTTGCATTGTTTACCAGAAAATATCACCGTAAGTTGGGTTTTTTATTATATAATTAAAAATTAAATTAAGTACAGGATCTAATTTTTTTTTCATGAATTGTTTAAAGTTTTTTTTATGCATGTTATAGTTTTTTTTAAAAAATTATTTAACTCTGAAATTTAAAAAATTACTTAATCAGCTTATAATTAAAATTTTTTAAACTCACGTAAAATATTTCAAACTATCTGTATAAAAAATGAAGTTGAAATCCATCATGGATCAATTTAACAACCTTTTTTTTTAAAACTAAATTAAATTTATAAACACGAATAATATATTATAACCTTATAGTTAACTAACTCCAATTAGTTAGTAGCGCTCTTTAATTTGAGGGAAAATTCTTTTTTTTTTCAGAGAAAGTCTTTTTTTGGCCGTTCTCTTCGTGAGGATTGATTTGCCACAAAGTAACTACGTTATTAGTGGGGCTCAAAGGATAGATATGAATACAAGTAAGAATATATGTTTTTCATGACTAAACATTGGAAACGCATCAAAAATAAAAATTCATTTTGTGATACAAAAAAGTGCAAAGTCAAGTATTGAGATATTTGCTCACTTATTTTTAATAATTCATTTTTTTTTTTAATTTTCCTTTCTCCCTCCACTCCCCTAATTTTTTTAATAAATATCTCTAAAGTACTATTATAGTGATTGGCCTTCTCTAAGCCCTAATGGATTAGTTTTAAACAAAAATGTAGAGTGAAGGCAAGTTTTGCTTGCTATGCTAGTCTATAGTTTAATAGTTTTTTATTTTAATTTTTTGGTTTGAAAAAGACAACGTACCAACTAAGTGTAGAGTCAAAGCAAGTTTTGGTGTTGTCTTTAGTTAAAAAAACAAGGTACACAAGACTAAAAAATTAAGAAGAATACGTAAGTACCAACTAGGCGAAAGGTTTCACATTAGAAATCATGAAAATATGTAACTTTGAGAATAAATAATTTGAGTTCAGAGAGAGCGTTGTTCTCTTTTTCCTTGTTTCTAGATGGATAAATACAATTCGCTGAAATTATTGACAATTGACTAACCAAAAGCTGGTCATAGTCATAAACGTAATGACTAATAATTTAGAAGAAATGGGGGTTAGACCCTATGATTATTAACAAAATTAAACAACTAATTATTGTAGGTCTATGAGGTGATGAATCTGCTTAAGTTGGTATTGAGAATCCTTCTTCAGAGTCAGCAAACACCTGGTTTAGAATCATGGCCAATCGAATTCCACCTTGAGCAATTCGTTTCATGACGAATGGCATCCTTGACTCAAAGTATTCATCTGCAAAAACATCACAAGCCAAAGTGATGATATTTGTATTAGTTATATGTCCTTAAAAAGAGAAGAAAAGAACACATCAATATGGTTTGGTTGGTGAATTGGGTTACCTGCAAGAGTTGTTCCAGGTTCTGCTCCTTCGTAACCCCATTTGCAAGCTATTTCTATGCTCTCTTTGCCCCAACTACATGGTTCAAAAACAAGCACAACCAATGTGAGGAATCTGAGCATATTAAAGGCAAAGATATTGGATTTGGAGGAACTGAATGAGGAAGAGAGGGTGAACTCACTTGTTTACACAGTGAGAGAGATCATTACAATGTTGCCAAGACGTGACATCACTTGACCAGATCCCCTGTATAGAAGAAATAAGAGATTGTTGATTTTACCAGTGTTGGGTACGACTCATACTTCGCATGCTGATGAAGGCTCTAGAGACTAGGTACTATTGTAGGCCTCTGATTTATTATAATTTTCTTAGCAATTTGGACTTGGGCCAATGAATAGCTGATGTTAGGGTTTTCTAATCCTATTTATATTTTCCTTGTAAACCGAGTGACTTGTAACCAGTGGCGGTGAGGAGAATATAGTACAGACAAGCTGGAAGTAGCCTTAATTGGGTGAACCAGGGTAAATCATCGTGTCAATCTCTCTACTCTTATCTCTTTTTCTGTTTTATCGATTTTGTGTGATTGGCGATTTCCAACAACTAGGAATCAATCAAAGAATCCATGTGTTGAATAAAAGCTATGAAGGGTGATACACAAATTTAGTCTTACATCGGTGTAGTTGCTCTCAATGTCTTGGAGAAGGAGAGTCACATCCTTGTCGTAATAATCTTTTAGTGCTGTGAGAATAATTTCTCTGTCCCACACCTAACGATAGACAAGAAAAACACATTGTCACAAGATGAAGTTGAAAATTTGTATCCATCTGTGATGCATTCTCCTTTTTAGAATTACTTTTTTTTTTTTTTTCATCTATAGAATTAAAGAAAGTTGAAGCTTACATGGTGCAGATTAGATTTGTGTCTAAACCAGCGTAGTTCAATTGAGTTTCCTCCTCTGTCAGAGGTGAATGAACAATGCATTGGCTGAAAAAACAAGAGTCCCCAAAATTTTTTAGTCAACGTGCTTGGTAAGAAGCTAGATTGATGGACTTTAAAGAGCTTTTAACACACCTGATGTATATCTCCCATGAAGTGTGACAAGAACAACAAAGCCTCAGTCATATTATCTGCAAGATCAGAAGCTAGAGGGATTAACACAATAATAACAAATAAAAAGTGAAAACTCCACTCTAAGTTGTTCTTCCTGATGTGATAAAAATGTACTTATTCAAATTTTCTCAAAAGGAAAAAAAAAATATTTTTTTTTTGGAGAAACTTGACCCCTTACATCTACGATCAGCTGTGCCCTCTTTGTAATGCAAAAGCTGAGAAGTGAAATTTTTGACAGCACCTGCAACACACATATCTTCCACGCCATGTGTATCATGGCAATCCCCTAGGGTAACAACATCAACAAATTTTATCATTAATATTTAGATGTTTTAATGAAAGAAAGCAAGTACATGAAAAAATAAGTACATAGAAGTAATGCTTACTTGAATAATCAAAAGAACAAGCATCATCCGGTGTGTCAATGAAATGAAGTGGACTTGTCCACGAATATTTATGCCAGTGCCTTATTTGGTCTGGCCATACGCAGAGGGCTGATAAGTTACCTTTGACATAGGCAGGTAACAAATGATACACAGCTTCTGATGCCTCAGGCTCTAATAGTGACTATTATCAATTCAATTCTAACTGTCAGTTACTTTTCTATAATTAAGTTAACATGAATCCACAACCAACAGTTATAATTGTTCAAGCGTAACAGATTCTGAATTTTACCTGTGCAATTTGACATGTCATGACATGACCCTCTTTGCTCCAGGCAAGGGTAGTTGGTACTGTGATGAAAGAAGAACTCAAGAACAAAAGAAAACCAAATGGAAGAGACAGCCACAAACCTCCAAGTCTACCCATCTTCTCTTTTTTTCCGCTAACCTCTACAAGTTTTGCTTCCTTCAGAAAGGCATATTACAGATATATAGGCATTTTTATAAGATTAGCTTGAAAGAACACGTAAAGGGGTTTTCATTGAGTAGAGGACTTAAACATGTATTTGTTTAAGTATGTTCCAAGTTGACCTTAAGTAAAAGAATTATGGGCATATTCTGGTATATACAAGGTAGCATCAATTTAATACAATGAAGCCGTGTTGAATTATAACATAACATGCTTCCTTTTTTCTATTGTAAAAGGAAATATAATTTGAAGTTCTTTGCTTATGGTACACTGTTACCTACAAGCAATACGTTAGTGGTCCTCACATGCATCACGATATGTGACTTGTGGATGCAGATGCATCGTTCTCAATCTTAAACGTTTGAGCAATTGTGGTCTGAGACGCAAAACAAAAAACAGTTGAGGGTGGGCAGCTTGTGCCCCAAGTTTCAAGTCATGTTAGGTACCTATTATTGTAGGTTACACAATATATTTTTTAATTGAACATTTAACATAATATTATAATCAATAATTTAAATTTACATTCTGTTATTTAATTACGAACTTTATAAAGAACTAAAATAAATCGAGCAATAGGTTGTCAATTATTTGACTATAATAACTAAAGGAAGTGGATTCACATGTGTGATTAGGTGGAATAACTATTGATTCATGCATTTCACAAGAAACTACTAAGACTAGCTTTTAAAAAGAAGAAGAAGAAGGATTTGGATTAGTCTTAATTTATTTAAAATGAGAGGTGACTTGTGATGGCGCACATGGTCCTGGCCTTGCCTGAGAGCGACTATGAGAAATGGCATTTCGGTAATTAAAGCCGATTTTCAATGGCATTGGCGTATTAGAATGTAGTCTGTTTTTTGGCCCAATCAAATAACACGCCTGAACCGATTCAGAACAGGTAAAAAGCCCGTAAGCCCAGATCAAAAAGTTAAACCCTAGGGCCTAGGATAGCCCAACCCTAACCTTATATCAATAAATTGCAGAGACACAGAGACAGAGAGAAACCCTAGTGTAGGAAGCAGCGGCAGAGAAAGAAGATGAAGTTCAATCCGCGAGTGTCGAGCAGCCGCCGCAAGAGCCGTAAGGCTCATTTCACGGCGCCGTCGAGCGTGAGGCGCGTTCTGATGAGCGCGCCGCTGTCTACAGACCTGAGGTCGAAGTACAACGTGCGGTCGTTGCCGGTAAGGAAGGAGGACGAGGTGCAAGTGGTGCGTGGGACATACAAGGGGCGTGAGGGGAAGGTGACGCAGGTTTACAGGCGCAAGTGGGTGATCCACATCGAGCGCATAACCCGCGAGAAGGTGAACGGTTCAACCGTTAACGTGGGGATCCACCCTTCGAAGGTGGTGATCACGAAGATCAGGCTCGATAAGGATCGCAAGGCCCTTCTCGACCGCAAGGCGAAGGGACGCGCCGCCGCTGATAAGGAGAAGGGCACCAAGTTCGCTCCTGAGGATATCATGCAGACCGTTGATTAGTCTTTCTTTCCTTCGTTGCGGTTCATTTACTGATATAAATATATGAGACTTTGAGGGTTTTGTAATCATTTTGGATCTTAACTATTCACATGCAGGCCTTGATTTTGTTATGGTTTAATTTAATTTTGATTTTGTTTGCGCTTCTGAATCCTGTAGATTACGATTATGCTAATCGGTAATTGTTTTTGTGGTAATGGTATCTTTATGCTTAGTTAAACCCTAGTCCTAAGTTTGTATGTGTTAATGTTGTCTTGGACTGTATGGACAGTGGCGTGGATGATGAGATTAACAATTTTACAGTTATCCCTGGCTGATACAGCAGATGCTGAAAATTTGTAATCTGACATGCACTGTTAGGTTCCATACATGTTAATACAGTTAAGTAACTTGGGTGGCTTTGCTTTACTGGAAGAAGGTTGTGTCATTTTGATTTATGGAATTTTATTTGAACTAAAATGTCTGCTTTCATGTTATAAATTAGGAATGGTGAAAATGTTTCTATCAAGGTTTTTTGATTGAAGTTTCTTTTTTGTTAAAATTTAACTTCATGGATTTCTAACTGGATTGTGTTGTGGGTAATAATCCGATATGATCACAGGATGAGTTTTCTTTATTCTCGGCAAACAGTTTCCTCTTTTTGGAAGAACAGTCTTTCCCTTGTTTCTAACTTTTGAGGTGGCCTGTGCTTTTTTCTGAGGTTGAGTCATATGCATTGTTTGGATCAAATATATTGTTAAGCGATTATGCCTCTTAATTTGGTTGATCTAGGAGATATAATTTTAGGGTTCATTTGGTAATGTGTGGCATGGCGGCATTCTTTGCCTAGTTGCCTTGGATTCTGTGGTTTGCCAAAGTTGTTGACATGGGTAGTTTATTGGAGATGTTGGTTTAATCTGGTAACGTCTTTTGTTCGTGGGATCTGGGCCAGATTTGGTTCATCTTTGGCAATTGAGATCTCTAGCTTCTTTTATGGTATATGGTGTTTTTGTAATTTCTTTTTTTTGGGTTTATGGTGTCTTAAACCATATTAGTAGTGTGATGAAATTTGGAGTGCTGTAAAACAAGGAATAAAAGTCTTTTAGTGCTGACTGGTGAGTATACGGAAACTCTTAATTTCTTTATACAATTGGTTAGTGTATGATGCGTGTTAATAAAATGTTTCGATCCAAGGTGACAAACAATCATGTGTTTGTTTTGAAATTGAATGAGGTTGGAATGGTCCCATGGGCAAGTTGATAATTTTTCCTTCATTGCTTCCACAATGATTAAAAATGAGTGTCTATTGCTTATTATTTTTGCTTGTTTAGAGTTGATGAAATTGATTATTAACAAACTTTTCCATTTCCTACATTAAGAGTTCGCATTTCACAAAAATCAAATGAAAAATTGTTCAGGCCTTCGAGTCCAAGTACATGTGCGTACGAAGTATTGAATAAATTTAAAATATGTAGTCAATTTCCGTGAAGTTGGCTGCGGAAGTTTTAAGGTGGTGTTTGGTTGGGAGATTTTCAGCGCATATTTATCTTTCTCAAGTATGGTTTTTAGAAATACCATGTTTGTTTCAACGTTTTTCACCAAAAATCCATCTATTCAATTTGTCTAGATTTATGAGAAATATAGATATTCGCACTGTTTAGAAACCCAACTTGAAGGTGGGATTTTTCGGAAAACCGGTTATCTCGCTTTTAATGCACATTTCTTAAAGTTACCTAATTTTTCTAGTAAAGTTTTTTCTCCCCAAACAATTTTTTTTTTATATTTTTTTACCTATCTCACTTTATTTGTCTTTTCAATCATTTCTCTATTTATCTTATTTTCCTACTATTCCAAAAAAAATTTCTGAACCAAACGCCCCTTAAAAAAGGTAAAAGGTAAAAGAGGGTATGGCGAAGTAGGGGTTGGTAAGCAATAGCTTACGGGGAATTGTTGATATTTTTGCAATTGGAAAACGGAAGTAGATTCGGAACAAATAAACTTACGCCTAACAGGCGTTATAATGAAATAAAACTATGATTTTACCATATGAAGTGCTCGTATTTACAGCATAGTTTAAGAGCATCGTTATTTACATGCAACACAGTTGAAGAGCATCGTTACTTACATACAGCACAGTTGAAGAGCATACTTACATACGACACAGGTTTTTAGCATCCTCACAATTTATAAGTTTGTCATGGCAAAAAAAATAAAAAAAATTCCTAATTTAAAATAATTTCTTTAAAATTAAACTTTTAGATTTGTATAAATAAATTTAAAAAATTAAAAATTAATTTTTAATTTTTTTTTTTATATTCTGTTAAAAAGAATATTTTAATCTATTTATATTAACTTTAATATATGTAATTCACCTCTAACAAATGATAAAATAATATAATTATAACATATTGTTAATTTAGTGTACATCAAATACAAGACATGATAAAATTTATATATTTTTTTTAATATTATCCAACTCTCTTTTCCTGTCTATTATTATATCATAGACTGTAACCAATAACCACCCTTTCCCTATGCATCTTTCGTCCTCTTGTTAAAACTTTTTCCCAATTTTATAGACATAGACAAACTATTGACTACACTTATTGACTGTTCCCTGCTAAGCTATATAGTAAACGAGCACATTTTCGGAGCAAAGGGAATGAATACTCCCTTATATAAAAAATAAAATATGGAAAGAAATAATCTTTAAATACTCCCAATGCACTTTCCCTCTTCTCAGAATTAATAAATAGTATATTTTTTCCATTTCCCAATTTCATAGACATAGACAGTGTTGTGTGTATGTGTGTTTTCCGGTGAGGTTCAAGCTATGAAGGCCGTGGTGATAACAAGTACCGGTGAGCCAGAAGTGCTTCAGGTGAAGGATGTTACTGACCCAGTGATCAAGGACGACGAGGTCCTCATCAGGGTAGCTGCCGCAGCTTTGAACCGAGCTGACACTTTTCACAGGAAAGGCTTGTATGAGCTTCCAAGTGGTGACACACCTTATCTGGGTATGGAATGCTCTGGCACCATTCAAGCCCTTGGCAAAAACGTTACCCGCTGGAAAATTGGTGATCAGGTGCTGTGTTAGACTTAGACCCCATCTTTTGTCTTCAATTTGTTTATGGACTATGGTTGCCCCTGTAGGACTCAAATCATGATAAAAGTTCTGCAAGTTTCTTGTAGAATATTTCAAATCACTTCTTGCATTATTCATGTTTTTAATCAGGAATTCGCTAAGTGGGGTTAAAAGTTAAATGTGGTCAATGTTATCTTTATAAGGAGACTGGTTTGGTTTGTCCGCAAGATTATTCAATTAATTTGTGGTTTGTGCAGAAGAAATTTCCATGTATCCCATATTTTTCAAGTTAAACCTATTTGGTTAATATAAATCATATTTTTATTAGGTCATTATGTCTTTGGTATTCTTGATTAGCTATGAGTGATATTGATTTATGTCTTTGGGGTTTAATATAAATATAGAGGACATATTTATTTGTTTATTTTATGCTATCTTATGATATACTTCATTATATTGAGGTTTGTGCTCTTCTTCATTGGGGAGGCTATGCTGAGAAGGTGGCTGTTACAGCTGCACAAGTTCTCCCTATCCCACCTGCTGTCTCTCTGGAGGATGCCGCTAGTCTACCTGAGGTGGCATGCACTGTTTGGTCAACTGTTTTTATGACAAGTCAATTGTCTATGGGGGAGACTTTATTGGTAACTGACTCCGCCATGACTGGCTATGCATAAATTTATACACCTCTCCTTGACTTAGTTCTTGAATAAATACTAGGATCATAATACGTTCAAAATTTTTAAATACTTGTGTTAATGCTGCCTACGCTATCAGTAGATGTTTCTGATTTCAAGCATGTTTGCTTAAATTCTTGTAAACAATTTTTAAGTACAAGTTTTTGCAGAACCCTCTCCTCTATAGTGTTTTGTCTTTTGTGCGAAGTTTACCTCCAGAATATTTAACCCACACTAACCCTGTTTTGTTTGTCTTCAAAAGTGCATTATGTAATATTCACAGTTACTGGTTTGATTCATGTAATCAACCTCTTGCAAAAATACGATAAGGCTGCTTACAAGTTACAATAGATCCCCACAATGGGTCTGACTCTTTCATGGCAGGAGCTTTATAGCACTGTGTTGTCTTATCAATTAGGTGCTAGTGTGCCTTTAAAATGATTCCTTATTTGATTGCACTAAAAGTTGCACATGTTGCATTGCATAATGATAAGTTGAATTTTTACAAATCAATTAAGAGCTAATAAATTAGAAAATTTTGATCCATCTACTGATATGATCAGCTTCATGGGGGTTCCGGTGGAATTGGGACATTTGCTATCCAAATGGCTAAATTCCAAGGAGCCAGGGTCTTTTCTACAGCAGGTCCAATACTGCTTTTGATTTTAGGCTCGACTCATGGCACATATTGTGTTTCCACATTCATTCTTCTCTGGTATTGATTTCCAGGCAGTGAGGAAAAGCTAGCTGCTTGTAAGGATCTCGGAGCAGATGTTGTCATCAACTATAAGACAGAGGACTTTGTTGCACGAGTGAAGGAAGAAACAGGAGGGAAAGGTATATCTTTTTGTATATTTCTGAATTAATTAGTAAAATAATTGAAGCCTCGGCACTAATTGCCCACCTTCTATTATTATTATTATTATTCCGCCACCTGTATTTTTCTATGAAGTGTGAATGATTTCTTTCATAGTGATTGATATGTGAAAGATTGAATGATGAGTTATCTATTTCAGGTGTTGATGTCATTCTGGATCATATTGGAGGATCCTACCTTCAGCGAAACCTTGACAGCTTAAACCTTGATGGGAGACTATTCCTTATTAGCACTATGGGTGGGGCTATAGGAGAAGTAAATTTGAATACTTTGCTCACACGGCGCCTCACAGTACAAGGTATGGCCAAAATCTTCTTTCATGCAGGGCCTTGTTCATGTAGTGTTTGAGTGAACTCAATTTTTTTATGGTGTTGGCCCATGTATGTTATCAGAGGATATCTACCTAATTGCCCATGGGCCTAGCTTAACTGTTTCAAACTCAACTGTACAGTACTGAACAACACTCTATGGATTCTCTTGAAGCATAAAATTGAGGAATAAGGGAGTATACTAGCGGAAAGTATCTGCTTAAAATGAAAAATCAAATAAGTAGAAAAACATTAAATAGGAAATGCTTTTTGCATTATTAGACATCTTTTGGAGCAATAAATAAAGTCACATGGATGCTTGCGAGAAACAAAGAGATGCAATATTTAAGAGTTTGATCACTTCTTTTGCATGTAATATTAATTATTGTACTTTGTTTTAAGAATAATCATTGACAATATTTCATGTGATGATATATAGCTGCTCGCTTGCGATTTAGAAGTCCAGAAAAGAAAGCTGAAATAATTAGAGAGGTGGAGAAACATGTCTGGCCTGCGGTTGCTGCTGGGAAGGTGAAGCCTGTTGTCTATAAATATTTTCCATTATCTGAAGCTGCTGCAGCTCACCGGCTCATGGAAAGTAGCAAGCATATTGGGAAGATATTGCTTCGCCCATGATATTTTGAAGAATCATTATATTCAAAGGTGGTGGTTTATGTATTAATGCCTGTTGGCTGATGATGTTAGTGCCCTGTTCTACCAGTTTTGTGCCTGTTGCGTGAAGGGCTTGATTGTTATTAAGGGTCTATCAGAATGAATTGAGGTCGTTCTAAACATCTTCTAAATAATGTCTCCATGGTGATTATGAATCGATTGCTCTTATGGTGCAACACATTGTATAGAACATTTGATGCACTTGCTGGAACAGTGGTATTGGAAAGAAGTTCTATTACCGGGGCTTGCACTTTGTGAGAGGAAACATATTTGACGTGGGAAGATAAAGTTTGAGAATCCTGTATAAGAACAAATAAGACTCGTTGGAAGCAAAGAATGGAGTTTAACTCGAAGAAAGTGACATTAGATGATATAATACAAGGGAAATGTGTTTCTTATGTTGGTGCAGACATAGATTTGTCTCATGTAACACATACAAAAGTGTATTTTTTTTTCTCTCTCCTTCTTAGTGGGTCTATACACTTTTGTGTGTGTTGTATAAGACAAATTATCTCATACAACATGAAAAAAATCAAATCCATAATATAAAGCCAAAATTAGAAATAATTTATTTGCTTCCGACACATATTTACCGGGATACGATATTGGATTCTAATAATTTTTTTAAAAAATAAATAAAAATCAATGGCTTCTACTTTTTTTTTTTTTTTGTCTCTGCAGCAAATATTTGTTTTCTGTTATTGCTGCTAAAAAGCTGAACCCTAATATAAATAAGGGTTTTCATTTTATCCTTTAACATAACACAACAAACTTTCCTATACTCACGATATTTTGTGGGGTCCACATTTTTTAAAACAAAAAAATAAATAAAAAATTAAGGCACGCAAAATGAATCTCTGTAACATTACACAATCACTTTTCCTACAACATAACTCTTATAAAACCCTATAAATAAAGACGAAGGATCCAACTTTAAAACTTGCATTAATCAAAGACTTCTCAGTTGAAAACTACTTTGAAATTAAAATAAATTAATCCGGGAATAATGTAGCATGAACCTAACTTTTTAAAAGTTGAAAAAAAGAAGAAGGTGATTTTGAGAAAGTGCTGTGCCTCTCCTACATAGGCGGGTATGAAACAACACGTTTCATTTGATTGGACAGAAGTGTCGCGTTCGTTACAGAGTCTTATGAATAATTGAGAGCATGTACTAGTTGTACTACTACACTAGCGGTTCTTGTAGTTGTGTTCTTCTCAATTATTTCTCAGAGTGAGAGTGTGTGAGAGAGAGAGAGAGAAGCAGAACCGAAATAGAAAAATGAAGGCTATAGTGATAACTAGTCCGGGTGATCCTGAAGTGCTGCAGCTACAAAACGTGGAGGACCCCAAAATCAGAGACGACGAAGTCCTCATCAGAGTCCATGCTACTGCACTTAACGGAGCTGATATGCAGCAGAGGAAAGGCTCATACCCTCCCCCTAAAGATGCAAGTCCATACCTTGGTCTTGAGTGTTCCGGAGCTATCGAATCCGTTGGTAAAAACGTTTCCAGGTGGAAAATCGGCGATCAGGTATACCTAAATCCTTTCTTTTTGGAATTGGGTTTGTTTATCCAATTTTGGGTCTCTTCAAAGTTTTAAACTTTTCGAGTTCTGTAACAAGCACAGCATATGCCTTTGCTTTCAATTAGTATTGTGTATTATATTATGGCCATACTCATCTTGATGATTGAACATCACTTCTTCATCCGTGGAAATTATAATCTCTGTTGATCCCTTAATTAGCGTTGACTATGAATGAGGTTCTGTTATGCTGAGGTTTTGAGAATACGTCAGTGTGTTGTCCTATGAATGAAAATTATAATATGTGTTTTACAGGTATGTGCTATTCTCAGTGGAGGAGGATATGCTGAGAAAGTTGCTGTTCCTGCTGGACAAGTTCTTCCGGTTCCATCCGGGATTTCTCTGAAGGATGCAACTAGTTTTCCTGAGGTGGCATGCACCGTGTGGTCAACTGTTTTTATGACGAGCCGGCTATCTCAAGGAGAAACCTTGTTGGTAAGTGCTTTGGTAAACTGATAACTTACAAAAATCTATTCTCTGAAAGCATGGTTGTTGTGTGCTGCTAATTTTCAATGGCTGAGAGCTTATCCCCCCATGACGCTGCGAGCATGTTCAGTGTTCCCTATAACTTAATAAATCTATATTGAACCTTGTAAATGTGTATACAGTACTACCACAAGGAGTTATTTTTCACTGTTTCTTTTGTTTGGTAATAATTCTAGCTTAATAATTGATATGCAACCTTTAATCTATCAATGCTCAGATTCACGGAGGTTCCAGTGGAATTGGTACATTTGCAATTCAGATAGCTAAATACCGAGGAGCAAGAGTATTTGTTACTGCAGGTTCAGTAATGCTTTTCATGTTATTGTGCAATAGTCTGTTTCCATATATTTGGATGTGGAGTCAGTGGAGATCAGCTGTCTGGCATAGTTTTCAATTAGTTATTACCAATCTCGTTTATTGAAATTCCAAGCAATGTTTGTCGAAATAGTATTCTTGATATTGCTTAGCAGGTAGTGAGGAGAAACTAGCTTTTTGCAAGGGTATCGGGGCTGATGTGGGCATAAATTACAAGACAGAGGACTTTGTTGCAAGGGTCAAGGAAGAAACTGGTGGTCAAGGTATTATTATCTCCAGGAAGCATGATGTAGTTTCCCCAGCATTCTTCATTGTTGGATTTAGTACCCCTTGATATGTGTGTTTTTACTGGTTGTATACAGAAGTATGATGTAATATTGCAATTGATGTGTGGTGGCAGGTGTTGATGTTATTCTTGATTGTATGGGAGCATCCTACTATCAAAGAAATCTTGATAGCTTGAATTTGGATGGTAGGCTTTTCATTATCGGCTTTCAAGGGGGGATTTCTACAGAAGTAGATCTCCGCACTTTATTTGCCAAGCGTCTTACTGTACAAGGTATTACAAATTTTGGATTATACCCTTTTCTAACAGTTGCTAATGTTCAGGTTTAGTTTTCTGCCTGTTAACATTTTTCTGTGCAAGTAAAAACTTGGTACGACGTCTTGTATGTTGGAAGATGAAGAAAATAAAGGGTTTTATTAATCTCATGTTAAAGGGGATAGTTATCTCATGTCATAGAGATAAATTTGTGGGATCCACCACCTGAAAAAAAAAAAGAAAAGAAAAAAAAAAGGTGGCACAGTTTGCCAAGAGTGTGTAGGAGAGAAAATGTATTTTATGTAACATAAGAATAGTTTTTCCAGAAAATAAATTAATGAAATTAAAGTTAAAAGTCAATCACTTATGTTAATAATTACAAAAATACAAAGTTGTTCATGAAATTCTACTTAATTTTGGGCTGAGGGGAGAAGAATGAGAACATGTAAAACAGTGACAACTTATTTTTCAATGACTTGTACTAACGAGTTCTGTTTGTGTGCTTCTCCCTCGTTCATGATTATGTATCTTTCTCTATTTTTGTATAAGAGTTTCTTTCTAGTTGTAAAAAACCAATTCAATCCAAAAACTTAAGTTTTTGGATGAGCTTTTGGGTTAGGTTACATTAATGGTTTTATATATTTGTAACACGTCCTTCACACGAGAGCTTATTGAGCTTGAAGAATGAACAATGCATAGATCCACTTACTTATGCTAAAAAACTCCAAAAGACTTCGTTAGTTATTAATTAAATGGGAGGTGGTGAGGATCGAATCTGTAACACCATGACTCTGATATCATGTAAAACTGGCACTTGCTAAAGTCATTCCCATAGCTATTTAGGCAATCTTGGAAGGCCTTTGAGTGAATATTGCATGCATCGCCACCAAGACTATTAGTGGTGGGTGCAGGGGCAGCAGCAGCAGCCGCCCCAGTAACTACTGTTTCATGTTGAATAGTTCGAGGACCCCACATAGCACCCACAGCCCTGCGTGCTATGGCACTTCCAGTCCTAAGTTGTTTCTGTCACTGTGCTTCCTATGCTTTCTACATTGTGCTTTCTTCCAGACCTACCTACCGCAAGGGTAGGTACATCCCTTCTGAGCTTCTACTTCTTTTGATTTTATACTCGAAAACCAACTTTTCCATTATTGGAACGTGTCCACTTTTTTGGGTAATGAGGTTCTTACTTTAGTTGAATATAGACCTTTATAATATAATATGGTGGATTTTGTGCAGGAGCTGGCTTGCGTAATAGAAGTCCTGAAAATAAAGCAGTTATAATTAGTGAAGTGGAGAAGAATGTGTGGCCTGCAATTGCGGAAGGAAAGGTTAAGCCTGTTATCAACAAATCTTTCCCTCTTTCTGAAGCAGCGGAGGCTCATCGGCTTATGGAAAGCAGCCAGCATATTGGGAAGATATTGCTTGTGCCCTAAACACCATCATGACATACTTTGAATCATTTGTGTTCGGACTTCTTTCTGTAATTTGAACTGAGGATTCTAATAAACTAATGGTGTAAAATTACAGCTAAATATGTCATTATTTGGGTGCAAGGCATCCAAAATTTCTTTCTTTTCTTTTGGTTTGACAGAGTTATTTGTCTATCTTTCACTACTTTGAATTCACTTCGGTGGGAATGGAAAGAATGAAAGTGGAAGGATAGAATTTCACATATTGTTTTGGATATATGATTAAATTGGGAAGAAGAAAATTGTCAAACAGGTCATTTTTTAATTGCTTGGGAACTATGAAAAAAATGAAAGGAATACAAACTTTATTTTTGTATGGATTTCAATAATTATAGGTTTAAAAGTGTAAAAATAATAAAGTAGTATGAAAAGCATAGAATACCATAAACCAATTTTATGAGTACCAAATTACCCTAAAAAAGACACTTTAAAGATGAAGGATCCAACTTAAAGACTTTACAGTTAAAAAACTATTTTGACCTCAAATAAATTAATCCTGGCAAAATGTACAATGAACCTAGCCTTTTTTAATCGAAAAAATAAATAAAAAATAGGTGATTTGGAAAAGAGAGTGCCGTGCCTCTCCTGGCATGAAACCACACGTTTCATTCGCTTGGACAGAAGAGTCGTGTGCGTCAGAAAGTTTTGACAATAGTCACTTCTAGTACTCCTACTTCACTAGCGGTGCTTGTGTTGTTCTTCTCAGTTAATTCTCAGAGTGACTCCGGGCTTTTTTTTAAAAAAAAGTTGCTTTAACAAAAAAAAAAAAACATTTATCGAAAATAGTTTGTTTGAAGGCCTATTTTTTTTTAAAAAAGTAGAAATTATAAAAAAAATTAAAAATTTACCTTTTTCAAAAGTTAAAAATTTTAACTTTTAAAAAAAATAAAAATTAAAAGTTAAATATTTTTTTCAAAAATCAAATATTTTTAAAAAAATCTAAATAGCTACAACTTTTATTATAACTTTTATTATAGAAAGTATTTTAAAATAAAGTGATAAAAAAGATTTTTTTAAAAGTCAATACAAACGCACTCGAGAGAGAGAACAGAACCAAAAACGAAAATATGAAGGCTGTAGTGATAACTACTCCCGGTGGTCCTGAAGTGCTGCAACTCCAAGACGTGGAAGACCCCAAAATCAGAGACGACGAAGTTCTGATCCGAGTCCATGCCACCGCGCTTAACAGAGCCGATACACTTCAGAGGAAAGGCTCCTACCCTCCCCCTAAAGGTGCAAGTCCATACCCAGGTCTTGAATGTTCCGGAACAATTGAATCCGTCGGCAAAAACGTTTCCAGGTGGAAAATCGGCGATCAGGTATATCTTTTTTTAAATGGGTATCTTAAAAATTTTAAACTTTTCGAGTTCTGTAACAAGCACAACATATGCCTTTGCTTTGAATTAGTATTGTGTATTATGCCCATACTCAGCTTGATGATTGAACATCACTTCTTCATTCGTGGAAATTATAATCTCTATTGCTCCCTTAACTAGCGTTGACTATGAATGAGGTTCTGTTATACTGGGGTTTTGAGAATACGTCTGTGTGTTGTCCTATGAATGAAAATTATGAGATGTGGTTTACAGGTATGTGCCCTTCTCAGTGGAGGAGGATATGCTGAGAAAGTTGCTGTTCCTGCCGGACAGGTTCTTCCGGTTCCATCCGGGATTTCTCTGAAGGATGCAACTAGTTTTCCTGAGGTGGCATGCACTGTGTGGTCAACTATTTTTATGATGAGCCGGCTATCTCAAGGAGAAACCTTGTTGGTAAGTGCTATGATACACTGATAACTTTTCAGGAGAATACAAAAATCTATTCTCTGAAAGCATGGTTGTTGTGTGCGTCTACTTTTCAATGGCTGAAAGCATATCCCCATGATGCTGCGAGCATGTTCAGTGGCTGATATCCTTGACTTAATAAATCTATATTGAACCTTGTATGTGTATATAGTACTACCACAAGGAGTAATTTTGCCATTGATTCTTGCGTTGCTTTTGGTTTTACTGTATAGTTATCTTCCTTGGGTCTTTTATTTGGTAATAGTTCTAGCTGAATAATTGATATGTTGACTTTAATCTTTTAATTATCAGATTCATGGAGGTTCGAGCGGAATCGGTACATTTGCAATTCAGATAGCTAAATACCGAGGAGCAAGAGTATTTGTTACAGCAGGTTCAGTAGCGCTTTTCATGTTATTGAGTATTAGTCAATGACCATGTATTTAGATGTCGAGATTAGTTGTCAGTGAAACTGACATGTTTTCAAGTAGTTATTATCCAATCTCGTTCCTTGAAATTCCAGGCAATGTTTGCCAAAATTTTATTCTAGATATTGCTTAGCAGGTAGTGAGGAGAAACTAGCTTTTTGCAAGGGAATCGGAGCTGATGTGGGCATCAATTACAAAACAGAGGACTTTGTTGCGAGGGTAAAGGAAGAAACCGGTGGTCAAGGTATTATTATCTCTAGGAAGCACAATGTAGTTTCTCAGAATTCCTCAGTGTTAAACAATATATTTAGTACACCTTGATGTTTGTGTTTTTACTGGTTGTATAGAGAAGCATGATGTATTATTGTGATTGATGTGTGGTGGCAGGTGTTGATGTTATTCTCGATTGTATGGGAGCATCCTACTATCAAAGAAATCTTGACAGCTTAAATTTTGATGGAAGGCTTTTTATTATCGGATTTCAAGGGGGAGTTTCTACAGAAGTAGATCTCCGCGCTTTACTTGCCAAGCGTCTTACTGTACAAGGTATATAACAAATTTTGGATAATATCCTTTTCTAATAGATGCTCCTGTTCAACTTTAGTTTTCTACATGTAAATATTTTTCTGTGCAAGTACGAACATGGTGCTACGTCTTCTATGTTGGAATATGGAGAAATCAAACCTAACGAAATTGATGTATAAAGTCAATCACTGATCTTAATAATTATGAAAATACAAAGTAATTCAGGAAATTCTACTTAATTTGGACAGAGGGAAGAAGAATGAGAAAATTTAAAATAATGACAACTTTAATTTTCCTATGACTTCTACTTACAAATTTTGTTTGTGCTTTTCAAATTGAAAAAGCAAAAGTGGTTCGGTTTTTAAACCCATCCGTGAAAACCGGTTTGGTATTTCTGCATCGAGCTTTTTTCTAGTTTTTCATTTTTTGAGTTGTTTCAATCACTGTATTTCCTTTGTTTTCTACATTGTGCTTTCTTCTAGACTTACCTTCCGCAAGAGTTGTCACACCCCTTCCGAGGTTCTCCTTCTTTTGATTTTATGCTTGAACATGTTTTTTGAGTGAAGATGTATTAGACAACCAGCATTTTCATAATTGGAACGTGTGCTCTTTTTTATGGTGTATGGTAGGATCTGAATGTAGTTGAACATGACATTTATAATATAATATGGTGGATTATGTACAGGGGCTGGCTTGCGTAGTAGAAGTCCTGAAAATAAAGCAGTGATAATTAGTGAAGTGGAGAAGAATGTTTGGCCTGCAATTGCAGAAGGAAAGGTTAAGCCTGTTATCTTCAAATCTTTCCCTCTTTCTGAAGCAGCCGAGGGTCACCGGCTTATGGAAAGCAGCCAGCATATTGGGAAGATATTGCTTGTGCCCTGAACACACCGTGGTAAATACTGAAGTACATGTCATACTTTGGACCATTTGAGTTTGGACTTCTTTCTGTATTTTGACCTCAGGATTCTGATAAAGTTGTGGTTTAAAATTACTGTTAAATATGTTATTAATTGTGTATGAGGGATCCATGCTGGGTGTGTATACTTAAATTTCTTTCTTCTTTTTTTATGTGATTTGACTGATTTATTTTTCTGTCTTTCGCTACATACTTGACACTTGAATTTGCTTCGTTTGGGAACGGAAATGAAAGAATGAAAGTGGAAGGATAGAAATTCACATATTGTTTTGAAATATGGTTAAATATGTTTGGCTATAATTTTTTTTAGTACAACTATGCAAGGCTTTTAGTTGAGCAATGCGAAAATCAGGATTAAAAGGAATATATGGCAATGCAGATCATGTGAGGAAGAAGCTGAAGCATGTGATGCACATGATGGAGCAGCGGTAGCGCATAGATGTTTTACTACTGGTGCTTGCATTTACTGAGAGTAAACATAGGTGCAAAAACCAAATTTGTATTTTAAAAAAAAAAAAAAAAATCTTATTACCGAAGAATCAGTAGAAGAAGAAGACCTTCTTCACAGTAGCATTAAGAGGAATAAAAGGGGAGATGAAAGATTTTCTAATTCTACTTCCTTGGTTCCTCGTCGTGAACCATGGATGGAAGATGGAAAATCATAGTAAAAGTCCTGGCGTGAGATGATGGAGCATAATGGTGAATTGGACTATGGCGAGGAATTTCCCAGAGTCGGAAGAGGATCTACTGATAGATCCTACACTAGAAAATGGTGATGGTCTTTTTCTGAGAGAAGTTGGTGATAGACTTGGAAAGACAATACGCATAGATAGAACTACAATGGAACAATCTAGGGGACGATATGCTAGACTTTGTGTTGAACTTGATTTATCCAAACCATTTCGTGCTTCATACAGATTAGAAGGAAGAATGAAACGCATTGAGTATGAAGGTTTATTCTTGATATGCTTCAAATGTGGATGCTATGGACACAACCAGTATCCAATGCTGGTTTAAGGCCATGGATGATGGTGCAAAAGCCTCGCCGTCAACAAGCACAACCTCCCTTGGCAGGTTCAGTTACTTCCACAACCAAGGCAACGACTGTTACGGCAACCGCAAAAACAGTCACTCGTGGGCAGTTAAAGCAAAATGCGAAGAGTATCTCCTATGCAGTTACCGACGTTACAACTAATGTTTCTGGATTTAATATTTTGTCTTCTCTGGAGGAAGAAACCACTTCTGATGGTGGGGCTCCTATGGTGGATACACCACGAAATAAAAGTAATGTAGACACTGGGAATACAAGTAACATGCTATCTTGGCTGTTTAACATGATGTCTTGGCTGGAAAAGAGGAGTTCTTACTTTTCGTTTGAAGAGCTTGGAAAACTGTTGCATAAACACCCAAAAACCTTCAAACGTTCGTATCGGGTGACGTTTCTTAGCACAGGTAGGCTGGGCCTGTTGTATTATTTACTCTTCAAGCCCAATGGGCTCTTGTATGAGGGGGCGTGTTGAGATATATAACCCCACATTGGTTGTATGTGCAACTAATGTGGAGTTTATAAGGCCTTGAACACTCCCACCCTTTGAGCTAGCTTTTAAGGTGGTGTATCCCAAGGTTCTTTACAAAAACCTTGAAGGGCTACCTCACTAGGAACCGAGGCTGTTGTTTAAGGGAAGCCTCTAGTGGCTTATATTCTTTTGGTGAGGGTGAATCAAAGAGGAACAAAGAGGGGAAAAATATTCTCTACATCTTGGACATCTAATTCAAGACCTATTGATTTGAATTGCCTTCCTCAGACTTCTTGCCGAGGCAGCGTTTGGAGAGAGAGAGAGAGTACAGGAGCCGGTCAGAAGCAAAAACTAAGTCTAGACCCCTTTGCATGAGTGTGGGTGATACAGACCAACAACAATCAACAGTAAATCAACTCAAATCAGAAACGAAACACAGCTCTATGAAGGAAATACGTCCATATCTGTATTATAACTGAAAATGATAAGCTCCAATTACACTTCTAATTCATCCTCAGAGGCAAATTGTCCATCAGGATCAATTAAGCTCCTCTTTCAAACAGGAAACAACACAACAATGTAAATCAAAAAGTGCAGGAAAAGAAAGATAATGTGAAGCAATTGGAGAGGCTCCACTCTCTCCCAAGGTCTCAATTCTCCTCTTTTTGTTCGATCCCCCTCCCTCTCTCCTCAGCCTTCCCTTTACTCCCTTGCGCGCACTCAGTTTGTTGCAACAGAATTTGCTGAGTCACCATCCTTTGCTTCAGTGATATTTGGGCCCTGATCACCTTTAGTTGAAGCCCAATTCCTCCTGTGCTTGTCCCTTTTATATACCTGAGTAGGCTTGGACTGGATCGTATCAATACTGCCCCCCAATGCAAGCACCTTGTCCTCGAGGTGGAAGTGAGGAAACTGCCCATTAATGACCGCAAAAGATTCCCAAGTATTTTCAAATTCTGGCAAGGGATGCCATTTGACCAGCACCTGAAGCTCCCCTGTGTTGGACAATCTCCATTGTACCAACTTTTCTGGTTCCACAATCAATTCCCAATTCTCAGAAAGGGCCTCAGGCAAAGGTTGTGCATTCAGAACCGGAGTGACAGCCTTCTTGAGTAAAGAGACGTGGAAAACCGGATGGACTTGACAACTTCTGGGTAATTGTAACTTATACGCAGCTGCTCCAATTTTCTCCAAGATAACATAGGGACCATAATACCGGGGACTCAATTTCTCGTTAACACGCCTTGCAATTGTTTTAAGCCGATAGGGCTGGAGCCGTAGATAAACATAGTCACCAGGAGCGAACTGGACGTCCCTTCTACGCTGGTTGACATGGACAGTCATACGGTTCTGGGCTTGGACCAAATTTTGCTTCAGCTCGAGCAAAATTTCATCTCTGGCATGCAAAGAATTGGACAGAGCATCCACGGCAGAGGCAAACCCTTCCCCTCTAAACAGATGGGGGGAATCTCTACCATAAAGGGCCTTGAAGGGTGTCATACCCGTGGCATCCTTGTAGGTTGAGTTGTACCAAAACTCAGCCCAAGGAACCCATTTATGCCACAGCTTAGGCCTAGGTCCACAGAAACAACGTAAGTACACCTCTAAACACCGGTTTACTACCTCCGTTTGACCGTTAGTCTGTGGATGGTAAGCAGTGCTATAGTGCAACTTAGTACCGGCACTTTTGAATAGGTCTGTCCAAAAAGAGCTCATAAAGATCCGGTCCCTATCTGAAACAATGGTTGATGGGAACCCGTGAAGTCGTACTATCTCCTTGATGAATAGGTCAGCAACATCTTTGGCCGTGTATGGATGCCTAAGGGGGAGGAAGTGCGCATATTTTGTGAGGCGGTCAACAACTACCAATATTGTATCGAAACCCATAGACTTTGGCAGCCCTCCCACAAAATCCATGGAAATGTCAGTCCACACCTTTTCTGGAATAGGTAATGGTTGCAACAGCCCAGCTGGGGACAGATTTTGTGCTTTATTTTGCTGACAAATAATGCATGCAGCCACATACTCCTTGATACATCTCTTCATCCCTTCCCAATAAACCAGCCCAGCCAACCTTTTATAGGTTCTAAAGTATCCAGAATGCCCCCCAAAGCTGGAATCGTGGAATTCATGTAGCAAAACAGAAATGAATTTAGAATTTTTAGGCAAAACTAACCTCTCATTGTAGTACAACTTGCCTTCGACCAATTTAAATCCTTGATGAATGTCACTGCCAATTAACAATGCTTGAATAATGCTTCTCATCTTACTGTCATTGTGTAATTCCAGCTCTAGGTCCTCCAATATTGGCAGCTGCAATCTAGTGATGCCGCACAATTGCATTTGTCTAGAGAGCGCATCAGCAACGTGATTTTCCTTGCCCGGATGGTAGTGGATCTCAAAATCAAATCCAATGAGCTTAACTGCCCATTTCTGCTGCTCCTCATTCAATACTTTCTGATCAGTTAAGAATTTCAAACTCTTCTGGTCAGTTTTTATGACAAAATGTCTCCCCATCAAGTAATGCTTCCACTTTTGTACGGCAAAGACTATGGCCATAAGTTCCTTCTCATAGATTGACTTCCCTTGTGCCCTTAGGGAGAACCCTTGACTTAGAAACGCAATAGGTCTGTTGTCCTGCATTAGGACAACCCCAATTCCTTTTCCTGACGCATCTGTGACCACAGTAAACAACTTAGAGAAATTAGGCAAAGCAAGAACAGGGACAGTACTCATCTTCTCCTTTAAGAATTCAAAGGCTTTCTCCGCCTCTGCATTCCATTTGAATGCATCTTTCTTAAGCAACTCTGTTAATGGTTTCGCAACTTTCCCATAGTCTTGCACAAACCGCCTATAATATCCTGTCAAGCCTAAGAAACCTCGCAGGCCCTTTACATTTTTGGGTATTGGCCATCCCCTCATAGCCTTAACCTTACTAGGATCAGCACTGACTCCTTGAGCTGTTATAACGTGGCCCAAATATTCCATCTTACTCTTTCCAAAACTACACTTCTTCCTGTTGCACACCAATGAATTTGACCTTAGGGCCTCAAAGATCAGACGCAGGTGCTCCAAGTGTTCAGCTCTGCCCTTGCTGTATACCATTATATCATCAAAAAATACCAAAGCGAACTTCCTCAGAAATGGACGAAGGACATCATTCATAAGAGCTTGAAATGAGGAAGGTGCGTTTGTTAACCCGAAGGGCATCACCAAGTACTCGTAATGTCCTTGGTGTGTTCTAAACGCGGTTTTTGGTATGTCCTCTTCTCGCATCCTGATCTGATGGAATCCAGATTTCAGATCGAGTTTGCAAAAAATTGTTGAGCCCCCCAACTCGTCTAGCAACTCATCCACCACCGGAATGGGAAACTTATCAAGCACAATCAGCTTATTCAGGGCTCTGTAATCGACACAGACCCTCCAGCTCCCGTCTTTCTTCTTTACCAAAATCATGGGACTAGAATAGGGGCTGGTACTATGCCTAATCCACCCATCACCCAATAACTCAGCCACCAGATTTTCTATCTCAGACTTTTGATAGTGTGGGTACCTGTATGGCCGTATGTTTGGCACCGTGCTCCCAGGTTTCAGGTTGATTGCATGGTCGTGTTCCCTCTTCGGCGGCAGCCCATTTTTCTTCTGGAAGACATCTTCGAACCAAACCAACAAGCCTTCCAACTCCTCCCATGGTTCTTCACCATCTGGACCCTCTTCTTCTTCAGATTTTAGAAAAAAACCTTGTCCGTGGTCTTGCAATGCCTTAACCACAGACTTCAGGGAGGCTACAGAACGAAACAAAGTCGGATCCCCCTCGATTACGACCTCTTGTCCCTCCTGCATGAACCTCAGAACCAAGTCCTTGAAGTTGGCTCTTATATCCCCAAGCTGAGTCAGCCACTCCAATCCCAACACCACATCCGCGCTTCCCAGATCAAAAATGTAAAGATCTTGGTTGATCCTTGCTCCCTGAAGTGAAAGACTCACTTCCTTACACACCCCCTGACAACAAACCTTGTGGCCATCTCCCACCTCTACATTATACGTTTGGGTCTCTGTAACTGGTAGCTTCAGTCGCTCAGCCACTCCTCTCTCTATAAAGTTGCTTGATGCCCCACAGTCAATCATCACGACGACGCCAGTCCCGTGAATCTCTCCCCATGCCTTGAGTGTTTGGCTTGAAGAGAGTCCCAGCAAACATTGCATCGAGAGCTGAGGAGTTACGTCTTCGTTTCCTCCGTGTGGATCTGTATCTTCAAGGATCGTCGGCCCTTCCATCGACTTTTCTCCCTCCACACAGTCATTGTCTTCGACTATCATCACCTGAAGATGCTTGAATGGGCATCTATGTTGGGGGTTCCACCGTTCGTTGCAGGTAAAGCACAACCCCTTGGCCTGACGTTCCCTGGCTTCTGCTGGTGAGAGACGTCGATTGCTACTCGCTTGACTCTCCGTCGCGAGTCCAGCCCCTCCGTGTGTTGACGGTGCCAGATGCCCCTTTTGTGGCCGTCGTTCGTGTTTGCTCCTCGTTTGGAGCCCTAGCAGGTTGATTTAGGGTATTTGAGTGGGCTTGACCCATGACCCGAACCGGATTGGATTGGTTAGTGAAGCCCGATCCGCTCCAGTTTCCCCTATTGGTGTATTGGCCAGCCCAATTACGTTGGGCCTGATTTCCTCTGCTCGCTCCTGTTGGCCCAAATCCTCTCCCTGTCCCCAAGCCTTCGTCCCTCAATGCATCATTCCTCTTCTCTATTTTCAGAGAATACTTCATCATCTCTGATAAACTTATGTTGGGAGTCATCATCAACTCTTCACGAACGCTACACCGGACGCCATTAATCCACGCGCCCTTCAAAAGCTCTTCATCCTCAAAACGCAAAGCACCAATAATCTTCTCGAACTCGCACCTGAACTCCGCCATCGTTCCCGTCTGCTTTAAGGAATACAGAGCTCTATATGGGTTATCTAGAGCTTCCGGTTGGAACCTGCTCAAGACTTCTCGCCGGAAAAACTCCCAACCCACATTGGGGTTGTTGATTTCCCACCACAGGTACCACTGTAGGGCTTCGCCTTCCAACGTAACCATCACTGCAGCTACCTTGTCTTCTTCGGCTACACCGTTGATACTGAAGTACCTTTCTACTTTGTTTATCCACCCGTACGCGTCCTCTCCGTGGAACAAGGGTAATTACAAACGCCTGGTTGTTGACATAACCGGATTGTATCTCCGTCCTGGCGGTCCGGTTGTGTAGCGATTAGAACCGTCATTCTCGTCGTGAGAATCATTTCCCCTGAGTCTCGTTATGTCATCCAGTCTCCGAAGGATCTCTAGCACCCCCGTTTCGCCAGCTTCCACTCTCCTTAGTATTTCAACGTTTTGAGCCTCTGTCCTGCGCAGCCTCTCCTCCATAGTATCAACACGGTTTTCCATGCTTCTAGTCACGACCATCCCACAGAGCTCCTAGATCGGAGCTCTGATACCAAATTGATACAGACCAACAACAATCAACACTAAATCAACTCAAATCAGAAACGAAACACAGCTCTATGAAGGAAATACGTCCATATCTGTATTATAACTGAAAATGATAAGCTCCAATTACACTTCTAATTCATCCTCAGAGGCAAATTGTCCATCAGGATCAATTAAGCTCCTCTTTCAAACAGGAAACAACACAACAATGTAAATCAAAAAGTGCAGGAAAAGAAAGATAATGTGAAGCAATTGGAGAGGCTCCACTCTCTCCCAAGGTCTCAATTCTCCTCTTTTTGTTCGATCCCCCTCCCTCTCTCCTCAGCCTTCCCTTTACTCCCTTGCGCGCACTCAGTTTGTTGCAACAGAATTTGCTGAGTCACCATCCTTTGCTTCAGTGATATTTGGGCCCTGATCACCTTTAGTTGAAGCCCAATTCCTCCTGTGCTTGTCCCTTTTATATACCTGAGTAGGCTTGGACTGGATCGTATCAGTGGGAAAGATCTTCTTGAAGCCTAGCAGTTGAGTTAATTAAAGCATTTAGGTCTTCTGAACTATATATTATACTTGGGGTAAGTCTAGGAAACCATTCACTTTTCTGTCACTAAATTCTGTGGTGTTGTGACTCTGAAATTTAGTTTTAAATGGTGTATTGATGCTGGTACTTAGTGGAATTTAGAATGCAAGTGTGAATGTTCCGTTAAATGCTTGCATGTATATGATAAGAACATCCATGAATCCAAACATGAAATTTCTCTTTTCGTATGCTATGGGACATTTACAGTTAATGTGAAGCAAAACTTTTCGATAAGATGACTTTTATGATTTTGTTGAGTTTCTTGACTCTATGGCGGGATATCCTTATATCAGAGAATTGTGATAGAATGAATATGATGTTATTTCCTTCCACAGTGTCATATCCCAGGAGGTAGGGATATGATAGATGACATTGTGAGGGATGCCTCACAGTCGTTGAGCTCAACACTCGTACAAGGTCTTCTAGTGCACGTATAGTATATGTGGAGTTGGTGCTATGACCGTATAGTAGCTAGTTCCCATTCATGAATCATGATCAATGTTATTAATGCCTTTTACCTTGAGAAAAGTGTGATGGTTGAAACTTTATGCAGGCTGAACTGTTAATTATGTTATAACAGGGCATGATCGAATTGTTGATGTAGAAATATGGGTGGTTTCTTACTTCTTACTGAGATGTATATCTCACCCGTTATGGGATCTATTGTTTCAGGTGAAAAATCTACGGAAGAAAACCCAAGAATCATGTGAACTATGCGTGTTGGCTGAGTTGTAGCTTAATCTTGTGCATTTTATTGTCAACGTAGTTGTTTGCACTAGTTTAGGAGTATGACCAACACCATCCTGGGAATCAGATTGCTGTTTTGTGGTATTAGAACTATGTGTAGGGATCTGATGTATCCCATCGTTTGAAATTATAACTTGTATTTTCTGGTGGCCTGTTTGTATTTACGCAAGACATGATGTTGGTTTCTTTAATGCACTATGTTTTATATAACCGTTATGCATTCAATTATATGGGCGCGTATACCATATTCGTGTAAGAGTACCTTTGCTGGCGCGGGACATTACAACTGGACTATAAATGTAGCTGATTCTAAGAGCACTTCGAGTTATGCATTTTTATTTGGCAGTGCTACTCCTTTCTTGAAACTCATTGCTTAAAGCGAAGTACATTTCAACAGCAATTCAAGTTTTTTGGGCTTTGTTCAGTAAGAAGAATTGATTTTTTCATACTGACCAAATATTCAAACTCAAATAGTTAAAACAAAGAAAACAATTCATTAAGTTTAGCCATAACCTTTGTATAATTCATTCAATAAAACCATGGAATAACATGGAAAAAAGATGGAAGCAGCTAGTATAGTTCAGTCCTCTAAAAACTTTGTTATACTTAAAAATATACACTTCTACAAACTACAGAGTCAGCTGATATATCATATATTTCCTCAGAACAACCTCATGTTAAACAAAATACTAAATAACAAGCATTAAATTTCAGAGTCATTAAAGCAAAGGCATAACTATCCAATGGCGGAGTCCAACTCACCTGAAAGTATTCCACAATCTTTTAATGCTATATACGCAACTTGTTTTATTAAGAAGACGAGCTGAAGTGGTAAATATATTCTTTGATGACTAAAAAGGTCACAGGCTTAGTTCCAAAAATTACTCTCTTTTTATAAGAATAAGGCTACGTATAAAAATTATAATTTTTTCAATTTATAATGCGGAGTAATTTTATATGCAACTTATTCTACTTAAGAGAACAACTTTGATTGAATTTCTAAATCAGTTACATAATAAAATCACGAATGTTGAAATCTGTTTCAGCTTGCATGATATATGAGTGTTAGACTTAGACATATATAATATAAAACTATTAGAGGTCATCAATCACTGACTTCTCAATTTAACTTAGGGCGGCTATAACCTTTTTAATAATAATAATAATCCCGTCCTCAGCCCCCAAACCAATCACCTTTTTCTTTTAATAGAAAAATGGGCAATAAAAAAAAAAGTGTGTTCATACTTCATATTATCATTATAAAATAGTGGAGGCTTTTCCCTCAGGCGTAAATGTAATAGATTTTGAATTTATCTACCCAACTTCACCGCACAGGAAGCAACATGGACATGTTGAAAAAGCCAAAACTGAGGAACTTTTCCATGTCCTCTCTCCTCTGTACATATAAAAATAAAAAAATAAATATCACATTTATTACCAAATTTTGATTGGTCTGTCCAGTGAGTAAGTGGTACTCCCCGAGCACCGTAATAATTTCCCCTATGAAGTTAGATTGAAAAGTTTTAATAATTGGAAAGTAACATGGAGGTGTTTGAAAAGTCAAAACTTTCGGAATTCCCACGAAGCTTGATTGAAATGGCTTGCAAGAGGAATATGTCTTTGTAAACTCATAGGAATATGTCTTCAACTCCCAGACCACAAGACACTGACGAAGTATAGGGTTTGTTTCTTATATTCGTTCACTACCCACCGTTTCTTTATTTCTCCCTTTGCAGCTTCACGGTAATACTGATAGAAATAGTGTACATCACATCATCCTCAACAAGTTAGCTTCGGCATTTGATATTGCAATGGCTGCTTGCAAAAGCATCGAATGCAGTTCTTCATATGGGATGATAAGAAAATATGATGTGTTTGTCAGCTTTAGAGGTAAGGACACCCGTTACAATTTCACCGATCATCTTTTTGCTGCTCTCTCTAGAAAAGGGATTCTCTCTTTCAGGGATGATACAAATCTCAAGAAAGGCGAATCCATAGCACCTGAGCTCCTACAAGCAATTGAAGCGTCTCATATTTTTATTGTCATCTTTTCAAAGAACTATGCTTCCTCAACATGGTGCTTGAGAGAACTCGCTAAAATCCTCGATTGTGTTCAAGTATCAGGAAAACGTGTTCTGCCTATTTCCTATGATGTTGATCCTTCTGAGGTGCGAAAACAAGGTGGGGATTATGAGAAAGCCTTTTCGGAACATGAAGAAAGATTCAAAGAAGATTTAGAGAATATGGTGGAAGTGCAAAGATGGAGAGGAGCTCTGACACGAGTTGCCAATCTCTCTGGTTGGGATGTACGGGATAAGTAAGTCATCTTCTCCAATATTGATGGTTTATGCATTTGCAACAACTAGATTAAGCAAATTTAAGGTTTTCATCTAAGATCTTAATTTATGCCGCTCCGATATTGATTGTTTCTTACTGATTTGCTATTCATCGATTTACTTCCCTTCTCAAGCTAGAGGTTAGGGTGAGTACTGTGTAATTTGTTGAAGACGTAACACGTAAATGGGGTCCAAATTTACATGCTTTATGAAAAAAAAAAAAAAAAAAAAAAACTGTGTTCTCATGTCTTGTATAGGTATTTTTTTTATTTTTTTTTCGGTTTTGTTTGGTGTTTGATATGGCGTTGTTAATTTTTTTTAAACTTTCAGGCCACAAAATGCGGAGATTGAAAAAATTGTTAGAGAGTTAATAAGTATATTGTATCCAAAAATTTCAAGTCTTCCAAATGATCTAGTTGGGATACAATCTCCTGTAGAGGAATTGGAAAAGCTTTTACACTTGAGCTCGGTTGATGATGTTCGAGTTATAGGAATTTCTGGAATGGGTGGAATAGGAAAGACAACTCTTGCTAATGTTTTGTATGAAAGAATCTCTCATCAATATGATGTGTGCTGTTTTATTGATGATGTAAGAAAATTTTACAGAGATTATGGTCCAACTGGTGCAGCAAAGCGACTTCTAGGACAAACTCTAAATGAAGAACCCCATCAGATATGTAATCTTTACGGTGCGGCTAATTTGATACGACATAGGCTACGAAATGTAAAGGCCTTTATAGTTCTTGATAATGTTGGTCAAGTTGAAGAACTGGAGAAATTAGCTTTCAATCATGAATGGTTAGGTGCTGGGAGTAGAGTCATCATAATTTCTAGAGATGAGCATGTCTTAAAAGAGTATGGAGTGGATGCGGTTTATAATGTCCAATTCTTGAATCATTGTAATGCACAAAAATTGTTTTGTACAAAAGCTTTCAAATGTGATTATATCATGAGAGATTATGAAAGTTTGACATATGATGCACTTCAATATGCTGATGGGCTACCGCTAGCAATTAAAGTATTGGGCTCATTTTTGTTTGGTCGAGATGTCTCTGAGTGGAGAAGTGCATTGGCTAGACTAAGAGAACATCCAAGCAAAGATATAATGGATGTGCTTCGAGTAAGTTTTGATGGACTAGATGATATGGAAAAGGAAATATTTCTAGATATTGCTTGTTTCTTTTGCCGTAAGGCGGAGACATATGTGAAGGAAGTTCTAGATTTTCGTGGATTTTATCCTGAAATTGGTATAGGAGTTCTCATTGATAAATCGCTCATAACCAATAAGATGGGGATAATTCAAATGCATTACCTGTTGAAAAAACTAGGCAGGAATATTGTTCGAGAAAAATCACCTAAAGAGCCAAGAAAGTGGAGTAGGCTGTGGGACTACAGGGATCTTCAAAATGTTATGTCAAAAAATATGGTAAAATAATTTTTGAATATAAAATCCTAGGTTACCATTTTTCTAGAATCTATAAATAATTTAAAAAATCTAACATTTTCTTTCTTCTTTGCAATGCTTTAGGCAGCAGAAAATCTTGAAGCTATAGTTGTGGAAGGAAATCCTGGCAATTTTCACGAGATTCAAGAAATAACAATGAGCGTGGATGCTCTATCAAAAATGAGTCATCTTAAGTTGCTCATACTTTGTAATATGAATTTTTCAGGAAGCCTCAATTATCTTTCCAATGAATTAGGATATCTTAGTTGGGATAAATATCCTTTCACGTGTTTGCCATCAAGGTTTCAGCCAGATAAACTTGTTGAATTGAAACTGCCAAACAGTAGCATCAAACAACTATGGGAAGGCATAAAGGTATGGTAAATTATTGATCATTTTCTATTTTGTTTTTCTTTAAATGAACAAATAATTATCTCATGTTCTTTCCCGTTTCTCTTAGTTGATTAAAGTAACATAAAGAAAGCTTAAACGTCATTATTAATTTTGTCTCCTACTATTGGCCCTCCTTGCAGTCTCTACCCAACTTGAGATGGATGGATCTCTCTCACTCCGAAAATCTTACGAAGATGCCTGATTTTGGACAGGTCCCAAATCTCGAGAGGCTGACACTTGAAGGATGCATAAAACTTGTGCAGATCGATCCATCCATTGGTATTTTAAGAAAGCTTGCTCATTTGAATTTGAAAAATTGTAAAAATCTAGTCAGTATTCCCAACAACATTTTTCATCTCAGTTCTCTCGAAAACCTAAATCTCTGTGGCTGTTCAAAATTATTTAATAATCAGCTGTTAGAGAAACCAAGGCATGCAGAAAATGTAGAGAAGTTTGATATAAATGGAAGAAGTCCTATCAAATGCCAGTCAACGTTCTCCATCTCTAAAATTCTAATGTTGCCTTTCCGTGGTTTCTATTCTCCAAGACATGAGGATTCAGTTGGTTTATTGTTGCCTTCTTTGCCTCGTTTCCCATGTTTGCGATATCTTGACCTAAGTTTCTGCAATCTACTTCAAATCCCTGATGCAATAGGAGGGTTACATTGTTTACAAAGCTTAAAGTTGGGGGGAAACAATTTTGTTACACTACCATCTACACTCAAGGAACTTTCCAAACTTTTATATTTGAATTTGGAGCACTGTAAGCAGCTCAAATATTTGCCTGAGCTCCCAAGTACTGTCCCAATTTATGGAGAAACACATGTTGATAGATATTGGGCAGGATTTAATATATTTGACTGTCTCAATTTGAGCGAGATGGAAAACTGTTATAACATGGCTTTCTCTTGGATGATACGAGTCCTTAAGGTGCCGCCGACTCCATCTTTCCTTTCCCTATCTCTTTTTCACTCTTTTGTGTGTGTGTGTGTGTGTTTGTCTGAACTAATACATAACTAATTTTTGTGGTATAAGGTGCACATGCAATCCTCCCTTC